CAGTTCCTTGAAGAACTTGACCATCCCGAAGTCAGTGACCCACATTGGAGAGAATGCCTTTCGGGTTTGCGGTTCCTTGAAGAAGTTGACCATCCCAGACTCAGTGACACACATTGGGCCAGAGGCTTTCAGGGATGGTCTTTAGCAGACGTGATCATCCCGGACTCAGTGATCCACCTTGGACAGGGTGCCTTCAAGGGTTGCCACCTTGCCGCGTCCGCGTACGCGAACTTGACCGTCCCAGACGGCACGCTCCTACCCGTGGATTGTACGCGGCCCGCGGGGAAGGAAGCACTGCGAGGTCGGTCCAGGTAGGCTTTGGGGGTTCTGGGGAGCTAAAACTTCGAGGGGTCGAAGGTAGGGGGGCATCATGTGGGGTTCTGGGGCCCGTTTGAAGCTTGTTTTGATAGGAAAAGACCATATTTTGGGTGGTCCAAAATAGAGGTCACTTAGTATTAAAAATAGGCTCTATAGGTATTTAAATACCAGGACCTTCCAACAAGATCCAACGTGTGGTTCTTGGAAACCCCGAAGCACCTCTTTACGAGGCTATTTATTGACACGGGTGCTGGTATTATTGTTAAACATACCATAGGAATTTCTAGGGAGATCCAAAACCAATGGGTTGTGGTCTATTTGCCTTCCATGGGGTCGAACGGGAGGTCTCCCTATTAAATACACATGATACACACGTCGATCCAGTGAACAGTGCAGGGTGGTGGGATTTTCCTTCTTTGGGGGCTCACGATGCCACTCCATGCAGCGGTACGTGTGATTTCCGAAGTGCTGTGACCCCACAACGAGGTCGCCGAGAGGGTGGGGGAGCTGTAGAGCTTTTGAGCATTCACACCTGGACCCTCCAGTCTGGTGATTAATAGGTGTCCAGAAACCCACCTAAAATAGGTTCCTAACACCACCTGTTGAAAGGTCCTGACCTGTCTCAAGCCAGACCTGATGTTCAGTCACTTCTAGAGCTTAGGCCCTTTTTGCTGTCAGACCCAAAGGGTTGGTGGACCTGCAGGAGAAGGTGCTCTTCGTGCGCAACGTGGGCGCGTCTGCCAACGAAGAGGAGGTGAAGGAGGCCTTCCAAGAGCAAGGTGAGGTGATTAGTGCCTTGGATACCCAGTCGACCGGTTTGGGTTTCTAGGATCCCCAGTCGAACGCCCATCAGCAGGTCACCAATGGTTCGACCGGTTTGCAGGGCCCCCTTTTTCGAGCCTCTGAGGAGACCTGGCAGGTCTCAGTGCTGCATGGAACACCTCAACGGAATGGATCCCTCCCCGCCAGACCAAACCAGCCGATGGATCCACATCACCCGTCGACCAAACCCACACACGGCCCCTGAAGGGGACCCCCTTCCCAGAGGTCGAACGACCAACCGTCGTTGGTCCCCAAAGCGTCGTTGGACCACCAGACGCTCAATGCTCTTGGCCTGCTCTCAGACGCTCCTGGACCCGAACCTATGCAGGGGTTAGACCCGAATCCGAACTGGTCAGGGGTCTGGACCCGAACCAATCCCTATGGTTTTGAGGGACCAGTCGGGCTGTTTGGAGCGTCTGGGCTATACACATCTATAAACGATATTCCCAGGACCTTCCAAGAGGTGTCATGCAAATAGCATGACTATCGCCTCTAAGACTCTAAGAGGTGAGGTGAGGTTATGCGAAATCCCATGGACGCACCGAACTTGGTGGCAGGTCCATGGGATCGTCGAACGTTCAGGTTCTTCAACCAGTACCAGGACCTTCCGACAGGTGGTTTTTGGACACCCCTTAACCACTAAGAGGCTATTTATGGACACCTCTTGGTGTCGGCCCTGGTAGAGGACGTGTTTGGTGCATGCGCAGCCGCTGGAAACAGCCGGATCGAACCATCGCCATGCGCAGCCGCCCAGGCGTGCGGATGCCCAAGACGAAAGCCACGCACAAGGGCTACGCCTACGTGGAGTTCGCCCATGACGATGCCGTGAAGGTGCCGAAAGACGAACGACGCGCCTTTCTCGTGGCCTGGATCGGTTGGCACATCGACCAGGTGTCGACTACCAGAGGTTTTTCTGGTTTGGGGTGGTGACTCTCCGTAACTCACATGGTTACGTGGATGGCACCACCTGTTTGTGGAACATGGGCTTCCTTACGGGGTCATTCTCCACGTAACCATGTTAGTTTCCAGGGAGTGTAATGGCCTTTAACCTAAGGAGCTACAACTATAGACACCCCTGGGCCGGCCCTGGTAGGAACGACCATGCTATAGACCCCCACGAGCCGACCGCCCTTTTCGGCCTGGACCACGGGCCGAGTTCACGCCCCCGTCGGGCCGCTTGCTCACGATCCACGAGGCCTCGCTGGCCCTGGATCCGGCGCCCAGCATCGGTGGGCAAGTGGTGAGCCTGTCCAGGCGTCCAGCATCGGTGGGAAAGTGATGGGGAAGTGATGGGCAGGTTGTGGTGGTGCTCTGTGCTCATGGCCAACATGCACCTGGCGTTTTTCAGCCTCTCACCATCTCGCCCACGTTCCTCTCTCCCCCTCCGGGTTTCACTCCATCCATACACCGCCCTATCCGCACCACGTGGCTCCGCACCCGTGCACCTTTGTTTTGGCAGGTCGATTCCGATGAAGGAGCACCGGCACACCACGGCCGGCACGCGGAAGGATCTGCCGCAGCGGGTGAACCAGCGGCTCATCGTGGAGGGGAAGTTGGATCGTGAAGATCCGGCGTCCTGCCTGAACTTCCTCTGCGGTGGAGCGGATGGTGGAGCGGATGTTCGAACAGGGCGGCCTGGGCGGAGGAAGAGGAAGGGTACATTCTTTTACAGAAGGGGGGGTGAGGGGGGGGAGAGTATGCATATTGTAGAAACGCGCGTTTTTTGCACTCTCTACTATCTGCTGCTGAAATGCTGAAAATTACAATATAAACAAACAATCTCTCTTGCATTGATAGGCTTGTGAAAGTTGTTCTTTTGTAAGCATTGATAGGCTTGTGAAAGTTGTTCTTTTGTAAGGTTTTGTTCTTTTTGGTGAATGATGTCGTTTTAATAGGGTGGTGAAATTTGTAAATTTCCTGCTCTATATGCAATTGGCAAACATATTTATTCATTCAGTTATGAATTCTAAAAATGATTAAATCCATAAGCTAGGTGTTTACCAAATAGTCCCCATGCAAAATCATGTTTCTTTCTTTTAGAGTGGGAATTGTATTGCTCTTATTAAATGCAGTTGGGTAAATACATCAGAATTAGAAGGCAAATAGTTATAAATCCTAAATAACTAAATTCTATTTTAATTCTTATTCAATTCAAATTCAAGTCTATATGTAAATTCAGGATCAATTCTATTTCAATTATATTTCAATTCTATTTTGCTTCAAATTTCCTTCATTGGGATTCAATGCAAGCCAAATTATAATTCGATTTTACCTTTAATTTCATTATTATATAGTTCAGATTCAATTCTAATATTTCATTTGTGTTGAATTAAAATTTGGATTTTATGAAATTCGCATTTATTTCTAGGGAATTGATCTTGCTTTGAACATAAAAGATTTTAATGAAATTTTTCCAATATGGAAGTATATTCTTTCTTTAATGAAATATATTCATACCACCAATAATATATTCATTCTCTAGAATGGAAGCAAAACTCAAGTAGAATTCCATTTGCATTGAATTGGAATCAAGTTAGAAAATTAGATATATAGATCAATTGAATTTAAATTATATAAAGATGTTAACATTAGAAATCATTAACAAATCAATTGGAAATTGGAATGGACACAATTACAATGTTTAATGCAAAACAAAAAGACATAGAATTAAATGAGAACTAGATTGGAATTGCATGAATAATACTAAATCACAATCAATTACTCAAATTGAAATTGACCTAGACCTAAGGTAGAATTGAAGTAAAGATATTTAACCTAGGAATTAATTAATGGAACAATATTGCAATATTGATATAAAATTAGGTTACAAATAATTCAATTTAATGAAAATCGCAGATTCAATTTGAATTCCAATAAATAGAATGCACATATATTCAATTTAGAATTAAATTGGACATATATTGCAAATTCACATATAAATGCAATTTGGAATTTAATATTAGATCCAGAATAATCAAAGATAATTACAATTACAACAAACTTAAATTAGAATAAAATTGAAGTATAATTTGATTATAATGAATTTTAAAAATACATAAACTTAATTTAGAATTTAATTAGGTTCAATTTAGAATTAACATAGAAGTCTATTACATATTCAAAACAAATTCAATCTAAAATTCATTTAGATCCAATTTTATTATCAATAAAAATAGACATGAAACAACTTCAATTAGAATAAATAGTGATTTAGAATTTAGTTAAATTGTATTTAAGTCAAAATTCATAGAATTAAATTAGAATTGAGTTAATAACTATTTAGAAATGAAAAAGACATAGTGTTTATTTATTTTTTAGCAGACCAGCCAAAAAAAAATCAGACCCATGGAGAGGGACCCAGGAAAGGCTAAACAGGAGACAACCAAAACTGCAGACCACATGTCCACAGAGTCAGACAAGAGCCCCAATGGGGTCTGCAGTTTTGTTTTGTTTTGGATTTTCAAGGTTTTTGCATGGTCTGCTCCAGATGGCCAGAACCTCGAAAATCCAAAAAAGCAAAAAAGAACAAAACTGCAGACCACATGTCCACAGAGTCAGACAAGAGCCCCAATGGGGTCTGCAGTTTTTTTTTTTTTGATTTTCGAGGTTTGTGCATCCCCAATGGGGTCTGCAGTTTTGTTTTTTTGTTTTTTTAAAAATGTTTTTGAGGTTTTTGCATCCCCAATGGGGTCTGCAGTTTTGTTTTTTTGGGTTTTTAGAGGTTTTTGCATGGTTTGCTTTGCTGTATACTACTGTTGTTATCACATCAAATTGCCCTTTACTCTGCGAAATCCATGTAGAACCCTTCAAAACCTTGCAAAATCAAAACTTTCACATCTCCCCCCCCCTCACCCCCCGCTCTCTTCTTTTAACAGTTGTTTCAGAGGTTCGATGGCACTGGCACCCCAGTCGATGTCCTTTAGATAGGTCGAATAATATCAACCACCAAACGACTGGGGTATACACTACGTGCCATCGAACCTCTGAACCCACCGGTTTTCCCACCGGTTTTTCGTGCTCGTTTTTCCTCTCGGCTCCAGGTGAGCTCCCCCGGTGTTCCGATGGAGTCCGATGGAGTTCCGCTGAGAACGACGCTAAGCCGCGTCTCTTTGCTTCGATCTTCTGGTGCCCTGTGTCCATCTGTGTCGTGTTCTTCCGATTTTAGATATTCAAATCGGAGCTCCATTCAAAAGATATTGTTAAATTATTGAATTATTGTTTTTTAATAATAATCGAATAATATTTTTTAATTGTTTTAGATTAAAAAAACATAATTATCAAATTCACCTTTTCTTTACATGCTTTGATTTTATTTGGGTGCTATTTGTAATGGTTTTGGAACATGCCATGAGACAAGCCACTCGCATAAGATGGCTTGAAGGTGACGAAGGGAGTGATGAAAAGGCATCAAGGTAAGCAACGATATTGCAGGGAACATGTCTTTTGCTACTTCCATTTGGGTGGCAATTACCAACAACAGGAGACACGGGCGACTACCCTTTATATAAGAATCTCTAGTATATATGCAAGGAATCTGGATAAACTTACTGCTTGTACATGCCGAGTATGCCGAGTATGCACGTCCTTGTTTCTGAATCAATATTCGATTGTTGACAAGAACACCATCCTGACAGAGTGCGAACTTGAAAGGAGCGGCCTACCTTTGCTGAGGGGAATCGTTGGCCGACCTCACATTTCCCAGAATTGGTTTTCATGGAATATCTGCAGGAAACCATGGTTTTCAACCCCATCCAACAACTATGGCAACTATTGGCGTTTCGTGTAGATGTTCGCTTCAACCCATTCTTGGAATAACACGATCCCGGATGACAACTGAACCTTGCATCCACCGAGTGGACCAGCGGCTCGGAGCCAGTCACAAAACTCTGGCATTGCTATGCCATAGATCCAGATGTCTGCTGCTTTTCTGAAAACACAAAGCAATCATGCTACACAAAAAACCGCATGCTCAAACCTGCTGGCCTGGTCTGGGCAGCCCGTTTTTTCTGCCGAACCACCCTGCAACCGCCCCGCAACCGCGTGGCGCCGCACCTCGCAACGAATCGCAGCTTGCTCCGATAGGTGAGACAGTCGGCGAAATGCCCCAGCACGGTCTATGTGACCTGGCAGAGATTCATCAGACCAAGAGAGGTAGAACGTGACCTGAACTAGGACCTTTATATACTGGGGTACCCAACTAGGATAGTCTATAGGGTTCTTCTGTTGGGACTGACCTCTATAGGGTTCTATGGGATAGTCTATAGGTCTGTCAGACGCGACCTGTCTGGGACTGCCATGTCGGACTGCCTTCAAAACGGCTAGGGGTGGTGCGTTTGAGGGGTCTTTCTGGGCGGCAGAACTATGGCAGTCCCATGGGTCGTGTCTGGGTAATGCATCCCTTGTTGGGGCCGAGAAGACTCGTTCTTTACACCCCGGAAGAGACCCACTATAGAACCTGAAAACGGACCAGACTGGAATATGCTGGTGCTGGTGCTAGCTGTGCGCGTCAATATGGTTTGAATCACTCAGATTATTCTTGAAGCGCCAGATTCACAAACCATGTTATGAGTCAAATACAGCATCCCATAGATGGCACGCGCTCTTTGCACAGTTTTCCTCCAAACAGCCAGAACATTTGCATTTTCTCCAGTGTAAGAAAGGTTCCTGTGTGTGCTCTGGAGCTGCTGCCAATGCAGGGTGCAGTCCAATTTTTTTGCATGTTTTTGCAATCTGGGGTCTATGCTGGTGTAATTTTCGAAGATTGAGGTTCCTGCCCGGTTTGTCAGATCACAACACCTGACGAAACTGTGATCGAAACTTTCCAAAGCTTCACCTCTCACGATGTGCCCGGGTTCCTGCAGAGTTGGTCGATACTGACACGAGAAGCGCTGTGACCGCCGCCCAGGTGCAAAACCTCTCCTTTACCGTGGACGAGAAGCAGCTCACCGAGCACTTCCAGTTTCTTGGACGAATTCATCCGCAGGGGTTATCCACCCGGAGGCATCTTGATGAGGTTTCAACCCCCCAGATGAAGAGGCTTTGCAATCCGGGGATTTGATGAATTGATGAATCTACCGTACCTGGACCTTCCTTCGGGGTGTCCTGGCTGGAGGTCCCTGATCGGTCTGTGGGCTGGGAGCCAAGGTGCTCCTATAGCTCCGCTCCGCTCCGCTACGCGGTCCGGTGGGGTGTTTCTGGGTAGGGGTGTCCCTGTTTTTGTAAGAGGTATCCATTGGTAGCATGTGTGATCCCAAACTTAAGCTATGGTGCAAAAACCAAGGCCTTTCTTGGCCAATTCCGACTGTTTGTGGCTACCCCTGTGGTGTTCAACACCACTTGGGAAGACGACCAAAGAAGAAATGTTTCGGGGGGATCTACCACACCTTGTAATTAGTACTAGACTTGTTTCGTTTGTATTTGGGACCATGACACTGAGTTGAGAAGCCGGGCCGGAAGCAGGTTTGGGCCTCCTCGCGCGTGCAAGGGTGATTGTGTGGTGGTCGCCCAAATACGAGCGACCTGCAACGCGAGACTGGCCTGTTGAGCATCCAGTGTAATTAAAGAAAGAACTGGATATTCTTCCACCTGCAGGAAGACCAATGTGCACATATCCAGTATCATATACCGACGACTCTTTTTTGTGAGATGAACATGGGCATGTTGCTCTTCAGTCGAGGGTTCGCAAGCCTATCAACACCATGTAGCTGACATCCATCGTAGTTGGTCATGGCGATAAGGCTGTCAGCACTGCTAGTTAACGGTGAAATGATTTGCTTGGACGTTTCACCGGAGATGAAAGGCAAAGAGCTTAAGAAGCTGATCAAAGAAGGGCAATCTTGGGATGAGGTCACTCTAAAGACTACTGGAGTGGAGATTGTTGTTGGAGACAGGTTGCTGTGCAATGATGAGAAGGTGTCGGATGCAGGGCTAGCAGATTTGGTCGTGAGTGCAGTCTTCAAGCCAAACACTGTGAGCTGCTCGAACAAAGATGCCCTTGCGAGCTGTGATTGTGATATCGACCCGGAACTATATGGCTCATGGTGGTTGTGATCCCTGAAAAGGAAATTCATATTTCTAAGAAAGCCTTTGAAGGATGCAACAAGTTCGAAGCATTGACGATTTCTGACTCTGTGACGCACATTGGGAATCGCGCCTTTGCTAAATGCAGCTCTTTGGCGAGCCTGACCATCCCGAACTCAGTGACGCGCATTGGGGATTTTGCCTTTGGTGATTGCAGCTCTTTGGCGAGCTTGACCATCCCGAACTCAGTGAAGCACATTGGGAATAGTGCCTTTGCCAATTGCAGCTCTTTGGTGAGCTTGGCCATCTCAGAGTCAGTGACGCACATTGCAAACGCCTGAAGAACTTGACCATCCCAAAGTCAGTGACCTGCATTATGGCATTGGGGAGCATGCCTTTGCGAACTGCTGCGCTTTGGTGAGCTTGACCATCCCCAACTTGGTGACCCACATGAGCATTGCGCCTTTCAGGATTGCAGCTCTGTGGTGAGCTTGACCAACCCAGACTCAGTGACACATATTAGATAATGCTTTTCTTGGTTGCAGTTCCTTGAAAAACCTGACCATCCCGAAGTCAGTGACTCACATTGGGAATCGTGCCTTCGCGGGTTGCAGTGCTCTAGCCAACTTGACGATCCCAGAATCGGTGACCCACATTGGAGAGAATGCCTTTCGGGGTTGCGGTTCCTGAAAGAAGTTGACCATCCCAAAGTCAGTGACTCACACGGGGCACGAGGCTTTTAGGGATTGCTGGTCTTTAGCAGACCTGATGATCCCGAACTTAGTGATGCACATTGGACATGATGCCTTCAAGGGTTGCGGGGTTGCCGCTACTTTTGGTGAACTTGATCACTGGATATGAACGTCTTGGCTCGGCGCGTGCCACAAGCACGTGAGGGGAAATAGTTGAGCGACTCTGGTTAGATAGGCTCATCCACCAAATCCGTTGAACAGATTTGAAGGAAACCACATTCAATATATCCGAAGGTCACTTTGATGACTCCAGTAAGATCGGGGGATGAAACTGCTCTATGCTTCAGACGTCCACAAGCTTTTGTTACTTTGCGAGCCGTGCAAAACATAGTCCTTTGTCACGAAAGCTAGCATCAGCTAGACTGGAGTTGCTGTTGCTGTATCGAGTTTTGGCTGGCAATTGCCTACCATGTGAATGTATCGCTGCTAGGGGCCCCCCAACCTCACCATGCCGTCCCCCCTGCTAGCTTTCGTCACCAACCCCTGGCCTCAGGTAATTACATAGTATTTGTTATTAGGTTGTCTTCCTTCGATCTTCTAAAGGCTTGGACACCTTCATCGTTTGTTATTTTGGGGCTACTCGGCTCACTGGAAATCCACGCCACTTCTTTTCTGGACAGACACACATAGACAACGCACCTCACTGGTGTGCCACGTGTGCCACCTTAAGTGCTGGGGACGGACTTCCCCTTTGACCATCCAGGCGATGATTCCACCGATGTTTCCCTGCTTCCCATGACCTAGACATGACCTAATTTTCTGATCGGAAGCTTGCCCCCTCTTCTTGTGGTGGGTTGCTGATCCAGCACCCGAGACCTGCCAGGTCACCACCTGACACTTTAAAGATCTTTTAAGTCTCCAAAAGCTACCAGAGGAGACCTGTAGAGTCGAGTGCTGGTAGAGAGGGTCAGCTGTGAACCAAGCCCTTCGCTCCGACCGCAAGCCTGGTAAACCACACGCCCGTCTCGTCTCACGCCGGTCTCACCCGAACAAAACGGGGCCTCTATCGAACGGCCGACGTCCCCGTCACCGGGGGTGTCCTTTGGCGACTCCGGTCGCGCCCCAGGACCTGCGGCGAAGTGTCCCAAGCCGCTTTGAAAGGAGAGCGCGAAAACGGCGCGCGCCCAAACGGCGCGGTTTGGGGTTGGGACCCGGAGCTGCACACCTGGGAGTCCCGGACACTGTTTCGGGGGCCACCTGAGAGGGGGGAGAGAAGAAGGTCAGAGCTTCTTAAGGTTTTTTGGTGTATCGCTCAGATGATTGGTTGGATGATCAGTGAGAATTCGTATGAATTCGTTGTCTGATGGCCGGCCTATTTTATCACTGCGAAGCAGTCCAAACATGATCGTCCGCCCCCCAACGCGCTCAGCGCCTTTTCTCGACCCAAGGAAGGCAGAGCTTCCTGAGGCCTCCAAAACAGGACAGTCGCGACCCCACGAGGTGTAAACGTCTCCGGCTCAGCCTCCATTTCGCTTTGATGGGTAGGATTTGAGTTGTTAAGCTCGTCGGTTTGATCCGTTTGATCCGTTAGAGATCAGGATGTTGGAGGTTGATCGTCGAGCCGTGTTTTTCAGAGAGTGGAAACAAGAGGCGCTGCACCACGATCAAGTGTCAGCGCCAGAAAGGCTCGATCTGCCGCGACAAACCGCTTCCTTGCTGTGAGTGGGTTCCCCAAAAGGATCCAAAAGGTCTTTAGTTGAGCTGCTTTGAGATATGTGTAGTTCTTCGGGGTGGCTGGTGAGCCAGGTGACCCCGAATCAATCCATCTACCAGGACCCACTGTCAGGTGGTTGATGGACCCCCCCCAAATCATCTCTCACTTTGAGGGGACTTCCAGCCCTATGTGACCCGCGGTGTCCGCTCGTTTTGACCGGTGCTCCCTCGGCCCTTTCGACCGACCCGAGCTCCGACGGCGCTCGTCCAAGGTCTTGATCGTCAAAACCCACGACGGCCGCTCCCGGGGCTTCGGCTTCGTGGAGTTCACCGACGCCGAAGGACGGAAGAAGCGCAGGAGGGGAGAAGGGGAGGGTTCGAATTGTAGATGGAGGTCCCAGACATGAGGGTCATACATGGTCATACATGGGTGTATTTAAGGAAAAATTGTGCTAATAGAATTGGTTATGAAAAATTGTGCTAATAGAATTGGTTAATTATTCTACTATTCCAGTCCGATGGATCATGGGGATCTTGGGGTCAAACAACCCGGGAAAGCTCCGGTGGCGCCCCACGCGGTCTCCGTCCGGTCTGAGTGACGGGCGTCGCGACGCGTGACGTGTTGAACTCGGTGCAACGGGGTGGACCGTGGTGCCAACTGCCGTCCGAAAGGGGCTTTTTGGTGACGGACACTGAACCAGGAGCTTCCTGTAACCAGGTGTTTGGACCTTCCGCCTCGTTTTTGGAAGGTGATTTGGGGTGTCCAAAGACCATTGAACTTGGTGAAGGTCCTGGTACATGACGGTTTTGGATGGTTTTCATGTGGCCATAGGACTGCAGTCCGGAGCGTTTGGGTCGAGTTAGATCGATGGAAGAGTGGACTGAGGATGACGGAGGTCGGGTCCGAGGTCGGCCGCCCCTGGAAGATGGGTCGGCCGCATGGTATCCCCCAACACTTGAATCCGCCTATCTCTGACTGGTGGGAAGGAGGGTGGCTGGATCCAATAGATGCATGAAGCACCTTTCCGGTTTTTAGATGGAAAGGGCTTTTGAAGTTCTGGACCGTCTGGATCCTTGCGTTTCGGTGGTAATCCTTGGACCTTTCAAGGATTCGATAGAAGAATAGGGGGCATGAGATCCATGTTGGAGGAGAGCATCCCAATCCAATTCACCCATCCAGGCGCTACTCAACTTGGGGGTCGCTACGAAAACCATTCCAGGGGAGGAAGATGCAACTTCACACCCCCAGGGAGCTTCGACCACCCCCGCCCGGCCGGCTGGATCGGCGCACCGCTCGCGCATCGACCGTTGTGGTAGCGACACTGTAGCGACCTCAGTGATCGGAGCAAGGAAGAGCTCGGTCCGATAGGCCAACCGGAGCAGTGCATCGTTTTGTTGGAGCTCGTTTGATTCTGGACGATGCAGTTAGGTACTAGAAGTATATACAGTAACTGGGCAAAATACAACAATAATATGGAGGAAGCAAAATTGGACAAGACGTTGACTTCAGAATCAGTGAAACTCAAGATTACTGGCCACTTGCCAATGGCAATGAGGATTTCAGTACTACAGGTGAATGGCTTCGTCACTTTGTCTCTTCAGTGACACCAGAGACAACAGTTAGAGAGCTGAAGCAGAAGATTCGACGAGGGCATGTGACTCGCAGAACTACCGTGGTTTTTGATGGTTTTTGGAGAGCGTGGCTCTTGGGCAATGATGAAACAGTGGCGGATGTGGGGGGGCTCACTGCAGGTGCCAAACAGAGTCAGATGCTCCAAACGAGTTGAGATCAGCAGGCGGAGCAGCGAGATTGACCTGGAAGTGTTGCTCGTTGTTGAGTTCCCAAGCCATGACACTCATATTTCTTTCATGGCTTTTGCCAACTACAAACATTTGAGTAAGTTGATCATCCCACATTCAGTGACCGACATTGGGGCCTATGCCTTTTCACATTGCAGCTCTCTGACCAGCTTGACCATCCCAAACTCGGTGACCCACATTCAGGACGGTGCCTTTTCAGGGTGCAGCTCTTTAGCTAACTTGACCATCCCGAACTCTGTGACCCACATTGGGACTTCCGCCTTTGCTGATTGCAGCTCTTTGGCCAGCTTGACCATTCAAGGCTCAGTGACCCACGTTGGAGACTGGGCCTTTCAGGATTGCAGGTCTTTGGTGAGCTTGACCATCCCAGACTCAGTGACTCACATTGGGAATCGTGCCTTCGCAGGTTGCATTGCTTTAGCGAACTTGACCATCCCGAACTCTGTGACCCACATTGGGACCTCCGCCTTTGCTGATTGCAGCTCTTTGGCGAGCTTGATTATCCCAGACTCGGTGACCTACATTTTTGATTCTGCTTTTGAGAATTGCAGTTCCTTGGCGAAGTTGACAATCCCGAACTCTGTGACCCACATTGGCAACCATGCCTTTCACAATTGCCGCAAATTGGCGAGATTGAGCATCCCAGACTCTGTCACACACATTGGGACTCGTGCCTTTGGAGGATGCCGTTCTTTGGTGTTGAGAGTGTCTTTCCTTCGCCAACTGCAAACATACCATAGAAGAGTGTTCCTGTCACAAGTCTGAGTACTGCTGGATTTGGACAGAATTTGTCCAATGATCGTGAAGACGGTGAGCCCTCACGCTCAACTGCTGGGAAAAGACGGTGGGCCTCCATGGGCTCGAGAGCTCTCTTGTTCATGGCGCTTAGCTTGGTGGGACATCAGAAGTAGGACCTGGATTTTTCCAACTCTGCAACGTTTCCGCCTTTTCATCCATAAAACCAACCAGGCTCGGATCCAGGTTCGGCAGACATGTTGCATTTCGTTACAAGATCGATCGGTATAATCATCAGAATCATCCGAATATCTCCCTGATGTGCCACTGATCTGACTTGAGCTCCATGGAGGGGAGACTGAGTCATTTGTTTCTTTCCAGAACCAAAAATGGACCTCCCCCCAAAAGGAGCTCTTTCCGCCAGACCAAGACTCTCTCGAGACCAACAGCTCCACCAGCTCCGCTCCAACCGAAAACCAGCTCCGTTGCGACCGTTGGCGCCACCGTGTGGCCGTGCTCTCCGGGCCAGGCGCCCAGACCGCCTTGCTGCTCTCGGACAGCGTGCTGGGCGGTCGGGATTTGGTCGTGTCGAAGAGCCAGAGGGCGATCACACAGAAGAAGAGCAAGGACAGCAAGGACGATAGATCAGCGGAGAGGGTTGGAGAGCGGGAGAGAGGGATCTGGGGTTGGGTTGGTTTTCAGCGGATGGAGACACTTCACCTCCGAAATGGAGCACACCGTGCTCGGAGAAGAGGCGATGCTGCTTTCCTTTTTGATGCGGGGCCTGGGAGAAGAGTGAAGGAGAGTGTGAGTTCGAGGAATCAGTTTCTGCTCCTCAGACCGCAGGCAGCAAGAGCAGTCTAAAAAAAGAACAGGTGACGCCAGGATCTCAGATCTCCCCATGCCAGAAGCGACGTCTTCGGACCTTTTTTTTCCGCTTTACAGTGCTTTCAGAGTATAGATGGCATACGGCATACCCCCAGTTTGGTGGTTTAGACGAACACCCCTATGAATTCAGGAGATCTTGGCACCACCGATCCCATGCCCGAGCGGTCCGGTGGCACCGTGCCATCGGTGGTTGGGACGTGAGTGGTGAACTGCGCAGAAGGGGAGCCTGGAGCTGAACGAAGTAGGGTGCCGGAGGAGTGTCGGGCCCGAGCCTTCGCAGGCTGGGAGCTTCGGCTCCGGGGGAAGAACGGCTGTGAAGCACAGCCTTTCCCTTTTTGAGGGGCCGGATTCCTAGGGTGGTGACTCCTAAAGTGATTCACATTGCAGGTGGTCGGCGGTCTTTTCTCATCTTTTCTCCAGATCCGTTCCTTCAGTCGGACATGATCTCCAATTCCAGGAGGAGGAGGCTGAGGCTCCCGAGGCCAAAGGCAAAGGGAAGTCCAAGAACAAGTCTGATGGGAAAGGCAAAGGCCGGTGGTTGCGATCGATACTCACGAGCGTAGCGGGGCGTGGGATGGCCGAAGGTGGCAGATCAAACTCGATCACTGTTGCTTCTGATCTTTCTTTGCAGTTTGGACACCTTGGCCCCTGGATGTCCAGTGAGAGACTAGTGTATCGTAGGCACCACCCAAGTGCTCAGGAAGTTCCTCTTCAGGTCACCCAAAGACTCGGAATGGTCTTGGACTTCCAGGGTTTGCATTGTTGCCAATTGGCGCCTGGGGCCCCACCAACCACCAAAGAACCATCTGTCTTTTGGTCTGTGAAACGAGGAGCATTTGGTCGCCGCGAGGTCGTTTGTTTTGGGTCTTCTGGGGAGCTGCTTGTGGCCTTGAGACATGGATATTTTTTACATGGTTTGCCGTGAAGGAGCCCCAAACATACCCCAGACACGACCAATGGGACTGCCATATATGCCGCCCCATTGACCCCTCAAACCACCCCAATGTAGGCATATATGGCATACATGGAGTGTCTGGGTACCAAAATCTACGATTGGTTCGTGGACTCGCGGACTCAACTTCGTGATCGTTTTGATCTGGAACAGCGTGGGTCTGACAACGACCAGCACTCCAAGAGGTGTCCATAAATAGCCTCCTAAAGAGGTGATTTGGGGTGTCCAAAAACCACCTGTTGGAAGGTCCTGGTATGCAAGATGTTTGTCTTTACTGCTCACCCTGCTCACCTTGCTCGGCTGTTGCTTTGGTTTCTCCCCAAATGGACCACCGGCACCTGCACCAGCTGCACCAGCCGCACCGGGAACTGAATCGGGGCGAGACCCCGCGACCAGGCAAAGGCAAGGAGAAGGGCAAGGGAGCGGAGTCGGGTGCCCGGCGGCGGCTACAAGTGGAAGAGGAGGTGTCCAAGAAGCCGAGGCGCCGGCCTCGCGGCCTCCCGTCCGGCGCCGACGCGCCGGGCAGTCCTCGTGCTTCCTGGAGCGATGTCGGAGGGTTTTGGATCGATATTGTGATCTATAAACCTCCGTGGACCCCCGCAAGGTCGAGGGGAGTCCCCAACAAATGCTGCCTCCGGGATTTGGGTCAGACTCTGGTCTGGGCCGAAGGCGGCCGAAGCCATGCCCCCCAACCAAAAACCACTCCTCCCTTCCAACCCGCAAGGCTGGAAGAGCCCAAGCCGCGGGGCGCATCTTCAGACGTGCCGAGCGAAACCGCGGCGCCCGCGGAGCCCGCGGCGCCCGCGGCGCCGAAGTTGTCGAACGCGGACTTTCGGAAGTTCCTCGCTTGAGGGTCGTGACTGTGGCTGCTTGTGGATGTGTCTAGAGAAGTGAGGGAAGATATTTCTGAAAGCCATCCACATTCCAGGACGCTCCAACAGGTCACCACCTGCGACTTTTAAGTCTCCAAAAGCCACTAGAGGAGACCTGTTGGAGGGTGCTGGTATAGTATACAGACATATATTAACGATGGCTGGACGGACAGCTGTTGGACCACAGCCAAACCGCGACAAAAAACACAAACAGTCCATCCAGAAACATCCACAGTCCATATTCGCTCAGAGCTTCCTCTGACAGGAGGTGTCTCAGACTCGCCGAGAACAGCGGCAAACAGATTTAGTCTTTCGACCACAGGAGGCCTCCAGCCTGCTCACGTTCGGACGATGCTTTCCGGCGGTGGAAGATGGTGGAAGTGTATGGCAAGCAGAGGTGGTCGTCGTGGCATGTGTTTCATCGCCCGAAGCCCCTGTGGCTCGCATTGGAGAGCTTGTGGGAGAACAAGGGGCTCCTTAGGGGTGGCGCGAGAAGCGGGTATACCGAAGAAGTTCTTAATTCATGACACGAGCAAGAATGACTTCATATTACATTTGTGAGAGTCCACCGGCTTTCGTGCCTTTCGAGACAGGATATGATACAGTATAACCCTATAGGATTCCAACTACCACAATTCAACCCCTAGGGATCCAGTCGTACCTTCTGAGGTACGGTGAGGACGGAGACTATTTATGTAGGCGCCATGGTCGGGCCCAGTCGTACCGAACCTGAGGTTCGGTATGTGGATCCCTAGGGAATGGCTTTTACGACATACCTATCCTGGACCTTCCAAGGCAGGCACGAAGCCACGCCCCAGCCTACTACGCTTTTTTGGAATCTCGATTGGACACCCCTTGGAAGGTCAACGATGGTTTTAATAGAAACCATTGCCCAAATCCAGGTCAAGATCCTCACTCGCATTCAAGCGTCGAACAAAAGGCCCACGGTGGTTCGAAACGGTGTTTTGTTCAGGGGCCGAAGGGGTTTTCCCCTGGATGGGTCAGGCTGCGCCAGGACGGTCCAAGAGGATCCAAGTCCGGTGGTTTTGGGGACACCCCGAAGCACCTTTACCAGGCCTCCCTAAGGGGTGTCTATAACTAGAGTTCCCAAGAGGTCAAGGTGTCGGTCCTGGTTGAGAGACCGTATGTCGAGGAGACTGAGCCAGAGAACACGAGAGAACCAAACGCATGGAGAATCGCACTTCTTCGTGCGGACATTTCTTGACATGTTTGGCACATTTTGGTTCGTGAGAAGCCGCAGGACATGCATGGATTTCATATCATTTCAAGACTTGGTGATGTAGCTTCCAGTCTCAGTGGGCCCGGAGCTGTTCAGCATGGTCTTTGATTCCCCAAGACACTCTTAAGTCTTTCAGTCCCGGCCATGGCCGAACGGGCAGACGGCATTGGCCCTGCTGCTCGCACGGTGCCTCGCCGTAAACCTGAACCGCGCGCGGAGGCCGGGGGGGTCTGTGGGTCGGTGGTCAACGTGGTTTGCATTCTCCTTCGCTCCGAACGATCCATTTGCCTAGAGGATCGATTACTACTATCTCTTGGTTCCTCTAGTCTATAGGTCATCGCGATAACGTTTTTGTGTTTTGAGTGTGACCGAAAACTGGACCGAACCAGACCGAGGTGGTCTGCTCCTTCTTGGGCTCGGGAGGTTTGGGGTTGATCTCGTGCGTCTTCAGTTGATCCTCAAAAGGCGCCACGCAAACCTGCCACTCATTTTCACCCCAGAGCCTCCGCTTTTGACTCATGAACAACTCCACCTGCTAGTCAGACCTCCACCACTAGTAGTCTTAGTAGTCCCCACCTGGTAGCACATTCCACCTGGTGGTCATACTACCAGTTTGGGGTAGTTCATGAGTCATGGCTGGACTCGAAGGGCATGGCTGCGCAGGACGACCCGTCTTCGAAGTTCGAATTCGCTGCGCAGGACGCGAAGCGACGTTCGAAGCTTTTGGTCAAGGACACAGATCTGTCTTCTTTTTGGCTCCTTGGAGAGCTCTCCACCGCAAAAGAAGAACTTTATATAGGTTTCACGGAATGACGAATGTTCAAATAGTTTACTTCAGGGAGGTCATCAACGACCATCAAGTGAGATGAACATAGTTCTCGATGTGGTTTGCAAGCTGTAGCTGACATCCACTGCCACGTGTTACTGTAGCTGACATCCATCGTAGTTTGGCGATGGCGATGCCCAACGAGCCGGTGGTCCACCAGGAGGACATCATGGAAGTGAGACTGTCAGCACTGCTAGTCACCGGCGAAATGATTCGCTTGGAAGTTTTACCGGAGATGAAAGGCAAACAGCTTAAACGGCTGATCAAAGAACGGCAACCTTGGGATGAGTTCACTCGAAAAACTACTGGAGTGGAGATTGTCGTTGGAGACAGGTTGCTGCGCAATGATGAGAAGGTGTCAGATGCAGGGCTAGCAGATTTGGCCGTGAATGCAGTCTTCAAACCAAACACTGTGAGCTGCTCGAACAAAGATGCCCTTGCCAGCTTTGAGGGTGATGTCAACCCGGAACTATGGCTCATTTTGGTTGTGATCCCTGACAAGGAATTTCACATTCCTGAGAAGGCCTTTGAAGGATGCAACAAGTTCCAAGTATTGACAATTCCTGACTCTGTGACGCACATTGGGAATCGCGCCTTTGCTAAATGCAGCTCTTTGGCAAGCCTGACCATCCCGAACTCAGTGACGCGCATTGGGGAGCATGCCTTTGAGGGCTGTGCACGATTGAAGACATTGACCCTCCCGAGCTCAGTGACGCACATTGGAGAAAATGCCTTTCGGTGTTGC